GTCAGTTTTTGAGGTTCTCGATTTTCACTACTCGAAGTTTAAAATTCTCGGAATTCCAATTCTTGGAATTTTCGAGAAATTCTTGGAATTATAGATAGTATTCACGAAATTAAAGGAAAAAGACAAAGAATTAAATTAAGAACATCGGTGAATTTTTATCGACCATATCTGGCAATTAAAATTCTTATTGCGAAAAATATTTCCCCAGCTAGGATTCGAATCTGGGACCTCCCTACAATCCGTGACGGGCGTCTTAGCCAGCTCGACCACTGGGGCTGTTGGCTAAGGGGTTGAGCTGGCTAAAGGTACGTATTCACTACGGCGAAGAAACAGCGAACGAACGGCGAACGAACAGCGAATTAGACAGATGTGTACACCACAGCGAATGCGAACTGAACTATCGGTAGTGTTCGATTCGCCTTCGCCGTTCGTTCGCCGTAGTGTATACGCACCTTAAGACGCCCGTCACGGATCGTAGGGAGGTCCCAGGTTCGAATCCTGGCTGGGGTACTATTTTTCGCAATAAGAATTTTAATTGCCAGATATGGTCGAAAAAAATTCACTGATGTTATTAATTACTTCTGGCGACTTTTAAGAATATTCTTACTAGTTAATTAAATTAAGCTTTATATATATAAAAGCTAAAGTTGAACAACGTTTGTAAAACCGTGCCTAACGGAGTAACTTTAATCTCACAATCAGTTTAACTTATTTTGATCTTTTTCTAGTTTCGGAAATTGGAGAAACAAAAAATTAATTGAACCAGGTTTAAAGTTAATCTACATTGGTACAAATGAGCGTAATTTGATCGGGGTTTAGTCGAAGTCATCTTGATTAATTTAATCGGCGATTCGACCCGCAGAATTGCTCGAAGCAAAATTAAACGATTCCCCAATCTAATTTTTCCGTACGTTAAAACTAACAATACAGAAACATTAAGTCTCTGTTAACGTATAGATATAAATAAAGCTGGTATTGATAATTTTATCGCCGATCAAGTTAATCAGAGTTTGATCGAAATTATTCGTAATCTATAACCGTATTACGCTCTTTACGTGCAATTGTTCCTCTGATCGCGCCATATCTTTTTTTTTAAGGACGTTTATCGGTAAATCGATTTTCTATGTAGTTGCTTCAAATTCGGACCGTATGCTATTAATACCCGGTAAAAAATTTTTTATGCATGAACATCCATAAAAGTATAGTATAATATAAAATTATACATAAAATACGTCCATACTTATTTTTGCATTGTATAAGTATATCTTTGTTTTTGTTTTCCCCAAAGCGTGCTAGTACGCGTGTATCCATATAAGACGCAGAGCTATGTTATTTGTAGTGTGAAAAATATACGCTAAAAATAGGGGGACGTTGTACGGTAAGAAAACCGAGCGTGAGCGAAAACCTTTGGTGACGATAATAGCCTATGAATGTCCTTAAATAATAAAACGTAAACGTGAACACACACACTTACATTTTCACGTCTATGGGCGATGTCGACTGAACCGTGATTAACTTATCGAGCAATATCTGTACGTACGTTTCGCTAACGGGGATAGCAAATTTTGTTTTGATTGACACGCGGCGGAAAAAAAGATTAGATTAAGAACTACGAAGAAGATAATTCGAAGCTCGAGAGCAATTCCGACGAATTGAATTGGTCATCGATTAATCGGAGTTCGATCCAAGTCATTTTATACTTTTATCAAAGTGGGGAACAGCGGTGGGAGAGGGAGGGAGGGAGAGGGGGAGAGAGAGAGAGAGAGAGAGAGAGAGAGAGAGAGAGAGAGAGAGAGAGAGGAGAAAATTCAGGCCCGGGGCGAAGAAAGTAAGAGGCGAATTCTTTCGTTCATGATTTTAATGTTGGAAATTTTTCATTTCATACAAATTAAGTGTGGGGAGAGTTATAATACAAACTTAAGATATATACATCAATATTTCGTGAAAACTGCTCACAGTAGCTACGTAACTTATGTCCGTTAAAATCCGCCAGATCATTCGCATATGGTTGTCAACCCGTCTTATCACCTGCTTAATTTTTTTTGTATGATTTTTTTCACTGCCATCTAAATTTACCTCGCGTACACTATGCAACAAAAGTTGGCAAGTCGTTCGAATAAATATAGTTATTAAATTTTTTTTTATTAATTTTCCGCGATTACTCTTTGCGCTTCGGAGTGCTCCCTCGGAATCGGAGAATCGGCATTCGAGCCCGCCCCTCTCGCTGTTTCTTTTTTCTTATTCGTAAGTCACAGACCCGGAGAGAGGAACGTCTCTCGGACGTTCCGCGCGAGATACGCCACGTTTGCACCGCGCGCGACGGAGCTCCACCGCGGGCGAGAGTCGGCGTGCCGGGGTGTACCTTCGATGCCTAAATCGTTCGCTCGTTACAGGGTGTCCCGGACCGTCCTACGAATTTTACACGACAGACGATGGGAGTCTGGGGATGAGTCTCGGCAGCTCGACCCGTGTCGTCGGCGAGATTAACGTTAATAACGAGAGCAAAACTCGTTCCACGAACGAGTCCAGCATGTCTTTCAGTCCCGTTCTCTCCCGACAGTCTCGGACACTCTGTATATCGCGCACCACGCCGTCGCGACTCCCGCGAGAAATGGACAGAGATTGGTCGTTGGGACACTCGCGGAGGACACGCGCGGCGAGGCCCTCGCCTCCTCCCGCGGGAGGAGGCGAGGGCCCCGACGCGCGGACTCGCGTCGCGGACTTGCGGGCGCGGGACGGAAATCACCGGACGCGGCCCCAGCATTCGCGACTCGCTCGCGGGTGAGCTCGCCGCTCCGATCGTACCCCAGGTGGAACGGAGGGATCATCAAGAGGTTCAAATAACGTAACTTTCTTTAAACGAATACGATCGAGACGACGTCGTCGGGACGCCATTGTGAGGTTTACGTTCCACCAGGGTCCAGGTGGAACAGGGAGTCACGATGACATCCGAGTGACGTTCGAGTGAAGTTCGATACAACTTTCGAGCAATGAACGAAGCCATGACGACGTCGCCGTGATGTCATCGTGAGTTCTGCGTCTCACCTGGGAGCGCGTGTTACAACTATAAACGGCAACTGGAGTCGATTGACTCGCTAATAATACAAAAATCGAATTGATTCGCCGTACAAGCCGATCGAGACAGGCGCGTCTCGGCCCTGGGGAAAAAAAAACCCGGTACAGCCGTGGCGAATCTCTCCGCAACGCGTTTCAACAGATCCGTCCTCGATCCACGTTACAAACGGAGTCTTCCCGTGCGGATAACAAAAGGCGACGCACGCACGCACGCACGCATGCACGCACACACGCACGCATGCACGCACACACGCACGCAACAACAACAACAACAACAACACACATCCAACAACGCACGCACAGAAGCCGCTCGCCCTGTTTCCCTTTCGCGACACCCAGTCGAATTCAACGCAAACTGGAAGATTAACAA